CACAGTCTTCTGATCCCCTCCCGCTCACAATCTCCCCCGGATCCCAATTCACTTACCGCGGCACTTGGTGTTCTCCTCGGACGGCTCGTAACCCGCACCGCAGGTACAATCGGTGACGGTCTGTTCGGCCCACTGCCCGTCCTCCCGGCAGTACATACTGAGCGGGCGGGAGCTGACCTTGACAGCGTTGGCCACGCACTGCCCAGTGACCGGCATGACCAGCTCACGGGGCACCGTCTCTTGGAAAAGGGTAAAGTTGACGGTGACGGAGGGGCACTTTTTGTAGAAGAGTCGGACAGAGAGCAGGGCCATGCAAGCCCCTTGGTCTTGGAAAGCCAAGTAGAAACCCGCCTTGGAGAGGGGTCCAATCTTGAGGGTCTTCACGTTGACCTTCCCGGAGGCCTCCATACCCACCCGTTTCCGGGTCAGGTGCTCGGCCGCCACAGTGTCCACTTTCACGTAAGGATTCTCCATCCAGGGCGGAAAGGTGGCGGTGGCGATGTCGCTATCGGCCTCGTAGAAAAAGACGTTGAAGGTCTCCTTGCACGAACGGTTGACACGCGGGATGGAGAAACACTCCACCACCGTGAAGCGGAGCTCGGCGTAGACGTGGGTAGCACCCGAACGAGGGACAAAAGTGGTCCGGAGCCAGTTGTTCTGGTTGGGGTGCCTCACGCCACACACCTCGAAAGTCCGGACGCTGTTCTGCTCCTCATCCATCCCGCTTAACTCTTCCCACTGTCAGGAGGAAGGAAGGAGAAAGGGGAAAAAGAAACCCAGGAGTCAGACTGGTTTCTGTTTTCAAACTATTGTAAGCTGCTTTGAATCCCAGGGCCAGGAAAAAGGTGGGATATAAAACACAGAATCATAGAGTTGGAAGAGACCACAAGGGTCATCCAGTCCAACCCCATTCCATATGTCAAATAAATATGATTTAGGAAGTGACTGTGATGAGCTTTTTATAATGTGCTCCTTGGATTGTTTTATAGTCCGTCTTTCAGTGAATTTTAAATGGCTTTAACTCTACACGTTGCTTAATTATTTTAAATATAACATATACAGTGGGCCCTTGGTATCCACTGGGGTTTGGTTCCAGGACCCCCTGTGGATACCAAAATCTATGGATGTTCAAGTTCCAATAAATACAATGGCATAGTAAAATGGTATCCATTCTTCTCTGCCACAAAGAGGTCTGTGGCCTCACTGGAATGGAGACAAACTGAATTGCAAAAGAGGGGTCCCTGTTGAGATGCAAATGGATTTTAAATTTCCTGGACTTTGCAAATCTCCCAATAGTCCCATCATGGCCAGAAGGAAGAGGATCCTGCCTGCAAAAGAGATCCCCCCTCTCCACCATATATATACTACCATCTTCACTAAAGACTGAAATAACATGTAGGCATCTGACTAACATCTCCAATGGTTTGTCTCCTCTTTGGTTTGTAACACACTTTCTTGCCTGATGAAGAAGAAGCCCATGGAGCTTCGAAAGCTTGCAACCAGTATCTTGTGCATTTGGGTTGGCCAAGAAAGGTATCACTGATGGATTTTTCTTTGAATTTGCTAAATGGGCAACGCAACTACCCGTTGAATGTTCATAGTAAAACAGTGTCCATTTTCAAGCAAAATTAAGGTTTACTTTGCAAAATGTATATATTTTTAAAATATTTTCAAGCTGTACATATAAATGTGTGTGTGTGTGATTTTACATTATACTGTTACTATACTTGCTATAGCTAGTGTAATGTAATAGTCTGGAGATCAGGGTTTGATTCCCTGTAATGGGCAAGTCACACACTCTCAGCCCCAGAATACCCCATGACAGATCTGCCTTAGGGTCACCATAAGTTGGAAATGACTTGAAGGCACACAACAAATACTTGCTATACAGCGTGAGATTTTGAGCCTTGCGACCTGCGGAAAAGCTCATAATGTTTAAAAACAATTTGTTAGTCCCAAAGGCTGCCTTTTCCCAGCAGTGCCACTTTCCCATGGAAAATCCCCCAAAGCTATTGATCGGGGAAAATACTCGTTTTTGGAAGAGAGGAAAGGATTATTTTGGTGGGAAAACATTCATAACATCCGTCTCTCACGCCATAGTGAGGATCCGGATCAGAGAGGAAAAAAGGAAAACTGGCTAGTTTTTATTTTTGACCCAAAAAAGAAAGCCAAAACTGATTGTGTCCTGGCATAGAGACTTTCGGATAAGTTTGCTCTGAGGGTGGCAAATCTATTTAAAATGGGTGACATTTCCTGTCCGACGTGAGACGCTGTCCCCCTCCAGTCCACCCCCAGAAACGCCTCTTTTTTTAGAAATTAAGCAACGGATGTAACTTGTATAGAAAATGCATTCTTTGTCCGGACTTGACTTTTGATTGGAGTGAGGTGGCTGAGACCACATTGCAAAGTCCCAGCCAGTTTTTGCAAAGCCACTCGCTTGGCAAGTTCTCCAAACGGAGGAAGGAAATGCTAAAGGAGATCTCAAGAAAGGGCGAACTAGATGCATTAGCAAAAATGGATCCTCCATAGCCAGAAGAGATCTACCTTTAAATGCAGTAACAGCCCTCCATATCCCCAGAGTCTTAATCCACGGATTCAACTATCCATGGCGTGAAAATATTCCAAAAATAAAGTCACCCCTCCCTATTTGTGGCTTTGACTTTTGCGGCTTTGGTTCACACGTTCTCTCTAGGAATCTCTAATGGAAGTTGATCATAGAGTCGCGCTGGTGGGCCTAGAGATTCCTAGAGGAAACACTTCTCCAGGCATTTGGAGGTCCTCCAGCCAATTCTATGGTCAACGTCTGGCGTATATGGACCATAGGGTTGCACTGGAGGACCCAGAGATTCCCAGAGAAAAACACTTCCCTAGGGATTTGTAGGTCCTCTAAGATGATTCCACAGTCAACCTCTGGCACACATGGACCACTGAGATGCCCTGGAGGACCCAGAGATTCCTAGAGAAGTGTTTTCTCAGGTTAAAAAATAGTGGGTTTTTAAAATTTGCATTTTATCTGCTTTCATGGGGGTCCTGGGCCCCTAAACCCAATGAATATGGAAGGCCCATTGTTGTTGTTGTGGCCAGTGCTTGATTTCCAGCTCAGCCATGAAACCCTCTGGGTAACCTTGGGTGAGTCACACTCTCTCAGCCTCAGCGGGAGGCAATGGGGAACCTCATCTGAACAAAATCTTGCCATGAAAAGCCCATGATAGGGTTGCCTTAAGGTCGCCACAAGTCAGAAACAGCTTTAACACAAGACTGCAGCAACAACCACAACCTTGGTTTTGAAAAATTGGCAATTAAAAAGGTAATTAAACAGGTGAGAGGGGGCTGAATCTTTATAAAAGGCAAATTGTCACCCCTTGAGGTGTCTCGGGTCCCTTTCACACCCCACAATTATAGAGCTATGATCCCACTTTATAGTGCCATCCTATCGAATCCTGGGATTTGTGGTTTAGGGAGGTAACTAGAGGATCTCTTTGTGAGAAGCCCTCAAGAAACTACACATCCCAGGATTGCTTAGGATGGAGGCATGTACGTTCAATTCCCCTTCTTTTATTTTTATATTTTATTTTAAAACCAGTCTTGGGGTCTGCCTGTGGCCCCAGGGTCCCTCTGCCCTGTCTTCAGCCCCATGACCCCAAAGGTGGTCTGGCGCTCCCACCGAAGGCTCTGCCCAAAGGGACCCCTTCCTTCTTTACCTGTCCATCCGCAGGGAACGTCGTCCATTGCAGGTCCGCCGTTTCCAGCTTGGTGTTCATGAGACTTTCTGAAAGGGACAAGATGCAAAGCTGATGGTTAGAGGGAACTCAGCACCAGGAACCTTTTGCGCAAATGGGTCGTACTGGAAATAAAAACAAAACCATCTACCCCAAGAAGGGACAACGCAAAGACGCACGCACCCCAAGATCTTGGTTGCGACGTTCCTTCAAGTTGACTCCAACTTTCTCCTAGGGTCCTCTTAGCCAGATTGCTTCAGAGGAGGTTCACCAACATGCCACAGTGGTTTGCGTTTTGGAATAAGACTCTGGAGACCAGGGTTCAAATCCCCACTCAGCCATGGAAACCCACTGGGTGACCTTGGTCAAGTCACATTCTCTCGGCCTCTGAGGAAGGCAAAGGCAAACCCTGTCTAAGCAAACCTTTCCAGAAATGTGAAGTCTTAGGCTTTCATGGCTGGCATCCATAGTTTTTTGTGGGTTTTTCGGGCTGTGTGGCCATTTTCTAGAAGAGTTTCTTTCTGACGTTTCACCAGCATCTGTGGCTAGCATCTTCAGAGAAAAGGCCGTGATGCTAACAAGGACTCTAAAGCCCATCTTTCTCTGAAGATGCTAGCCACAGATGCTGGCGAAACGTCAGAAAGAAACTCTTCTAGAACATGGCCACACAGCCCGAAAAACCCACAAAAAACTACTTTCCAGAAATTCCCGTGATAGCATGGCTTTGGGAGGCCTTGTGGTGCAGTGGTTTTGGGTTCAAATCCCTCTCTGCTCAGCCAAGGGAACCCAGTAGGGGACCTTAGGCAAGTCTCACTCTCTCAGCTTCAGAGGAAAGCAAAAGCAAACCCCTCTCTGAAAAAAACCCCTTTCTTGCCAGGAAACCCCCATGAGAGTCTGGGTAGTGTAGTGGTTTCAGCCTTGGAAAATTCTGGGGACCAGGGTTCGAATTCCTGCTTAGCCATGGAGACCCACTGGGTGACCTTGGGCAAGTCACACACTCTCAGCCCCAGAAAACCCTTTGATAGGCTCACTTTAGGGTCATCATAAGTCAGAAATGACTTGAAGGCACACAACAAC